CAAACAAGGCCTGCGCGGAAAGATGGGAGGCAGTAGCATGGCACGTCGAAGTCAACGGAGGATGTGATGGCAATGAGAGATGAGCGCTGTAGAGAGAACCGAGAAGCGGTTTTCATTGAACTGATATAGGTCATGGTGGCCTGAAGGTGGATATTGCTGCGTACCAGCTATTCGCCGCTTCGACCACATGTAGAGACAATTCTGCGGTTCTCGAGTTCGGTATTTTGCTTGATGCGGAAGCTTGTGCGCGCGCCGAACACTGGGAAGAAAATGTGTTAGTAAAAGCGCTATAATTGCGAATTGGCGTGGGTGAAATTGAGGCAACGCGCAGAAGAGTGTCCGCCAAAAAATAAACGACGGTGGAATCGAGGTCAAATTGCGCCATGGGAGCGGACAAAGAAATGATATTGCAGGACAGCCACCACTAGGCATATGCGCAGGTCCTGCAGATCTGAGTGATTTCCGTGCGTGATCCACGCGTGATTCTCGCCGTCGTTGAAAAGCAAGGGTTTAAGCTGACTACAATTGTCAATGAGCGTTCCAGGGAGCCTTGGCCAACGGATAAGGGGAGCGTCTCGGGACGGAAGGTCGGCGCTCAACAGCTTCCGATCGCATTGAAGTAGTTCGTCATGGGTGTGGTGGTATTGGTGTTGCAATGGAAGTTGGAATGCACGGTTTGATGGATGGGTAGTGGAATGCAAGACGTTGAGTGCAGTTGGCGCGCCGCCGGATCGCAATTGCGATGGAACACGCTGGCTGGTTGATATTGTGATCTACCGCGCGAGTTAGGTTGGCACTGAGGGAGGAGGCAACGTGGATCGATTATTGGAGATCGCGAGCCGGTGGAACGGCGGTAGGATGGGATGAGTTTCGGTGGTCGAAGATAGGACGGGGTGAATAGAATAGCGTAGACGAACCTTGGTTTTGTTTGCGCCAGGAAATAGCCCAGACCAAGGGGCGTGGCACGATTATCAGGATGGCGCAAAAGAAGTGGGTGCGAAGCTTCGAGAAACTGAGCGTATGATGTGGTCTCAAGGAAATCCTGCGACGCCGACGGGGAGAATTTTGAAGCTTAACGGTACCGGCAGAGAGGATTTCTTTTATTTTAATCACTTTGGTTCTTGTCCTCGCAGATGGGGCCCGGAATGGGTTTGAAGACTGCGTACAGATGGTAATTCCAAATTAGAGCGCGGGTGGCAGGGAGGAGGGTTGGCGTGGGGTGCTCCGAAAGAGGCGGACTCGGAGAGCCAGGATGCACACGGCGGATGAGCGCCAGTCCGGTATGGTAGGACTAGGACGAGATGAGAGGTCGGCGCTGTGTTTCAAATAGTATGCGGGGGTAGGGCCGAGGGCATATGCAAATAACGAGAAGTGGATGGGCATGGAGTGGGATGGGTGCGGGGGAACGAGGCGTGAATGGAATAGGGTGTGATGCGATGTGCGCAGGATGTGAGGGGCGGGAGGAAGACGGATCCGGATGGAAAGGAGGGGGAGTGTCGAAGACGAAAGTGGATGGGAGGAGTGAATGATTGTGTTGTGACGTACAGAGAAAGCATATGCGGTATGTGCGGAAGGGGTGGATGATTGTGGGGAGGGTAGAATGGATGGATGGAAGCGAGAAGAGTGGAGGTGGAGTGGTGCCCGGCATAACGACCGCGGCAGGAACTTGGCCGTCGAGGAGAAAGGTGGAATGCGTGGTGATGAGAAGAGAATCCGAGAAGCAGGAACGTAGGGCGCAGGATGGGAACCACGAAAGGTGGGATGTGATGGAGGAAGGAATGTGGGGAGCGAATGGAATGGGAATGGGAATGGGAATGGAATGGGAATGGAATGGGAATGGGCAAAGGGGTGGTGGGGCAGCAAAGGGGTGGTGGGGCAGCAGAGGGGTGATAAATGCAGGGAACATGCCAGAGAAGAGAAGGACGCACGACGGAATGCAGCGGGGAGAAGCACAGAGAGACACCGGCAGTAGATGAAGACGGTTGAAGGCGGGGACGACAGGCGGAGGGCTAGGAACGACGGAAGATCCCTAGTATATTCGGAGCATTAAGTAGGATAGAGCAGCACGCAGCCCTTCTGCAATGGTGCCGCCCTCTCCATCGTTGCTGCCCGCAGCTTCGTGTTTCGTGGTCCGCAGATCAGGTCAGCCGCAATCAGACCAGCGGCACAACGAATAACGCACCGCCAAAGCGCCCAAAGGCAAAAGCAACAGGCACTTCGCCGGCGTCTCTTTTCCGAGTGCGCGAAGGGTTGAAGGCGCACTTCGAGGCTCTTCATCGATTTTATGGTCGAATAAGGCGATGTAGTGTGGCGCAGGTGGACGCAGTCTAGAGCAGAAGAGGGAGGAGCAGAGTGGAGGGCGTGGCGGTGCATCTCGGCAATAGTCGGCATAACTCGGCCCCGACAACCTCGCGAACATCGTTCTAGACGAAGCCCAGACATACTCCGCTCAGCTGCAACCCAATCATCCGCCGAATATGCATTTCCCTCAAATTTATATAAAATACTCTCAAATCGCACACCCACATCGATATCGGAATGGGACAGTCCATCGAGCGCCGGCACACGTCTGCACCGTCGTCCAGCGGGCCACTGCGGCTCACGATTCGACTCGGTGGAACCCACCTACCGACACCGCAGGCTGCCCGTATACACAGCTCAATATTTGATTGTATTACCGCCTCTCAACCATTATTCATGGATCAATTTTTTTGCTCCACCATACGTCAGTACTCCGCCGGGCGCCCATTTTCAGCAGTCTTCTGACACTCCACCGTCTGCCATTTTCCCAATTCCTCTCATCGGCTTCCCAATTTTCTCCACTGGTTATCCAGCCACATTCCGCTTGCGGCCGCCTCACGTCTACTATAATCAATTCACAGCCCTAGGCAATTCCACACGAGTTCTGAAAAGAGCCGCACCACTCCTCACCAGGAAGGAACGTCCATGTTCCGCGCGCTTAGACTCGAATTGTGCGTGACCAAGAGTTTCTTTCTAGAAGCCGGATCCCCTACTAGAATCCAAACCTCCTCCTTTCCTTTTTTCTTGGTACCGGTTCTAACTGCCCTACTTACATACTTGGTGTAGATGTTAGCTCTTCCACCAGGGCTCATTTTTCTCCTTTCAAAAAATAATCCACCTGCTCCGCAGCTTGACTACTGAAGAAGCAAAAAAAAAAAAAATCTGACACTTCGACTTGTCCATGCCCACGATGTGGCAGCTTATCCACGCAGGCTTTTGTGCTTTCTTTTGAACATAGATATGACTGGCTCATTAGCCCGGCAATATTCCTGTTTCAAATCCCAAGTAACTTCTTGAATTGGCATGCAATGGGTTTATTATTTGAGTGCGGGGGGGGGGGGGGGGATATATTATACTCGCGTGGTCCACAACATGAACAACGAGTTTACAGAAGACATACAAGTAGTACTATCAGGGTGGTTATCCATCTAGAATTCTGCAAGATGTCAACTGAGCACAACACCATTCCAGGGGATCGATCACACAAGACGCTGGCCGAACTGCGACTGGCCGGCCATTCGGCGGGACCTCCGGTTGTAACCTCGTGGGACCTGACCACAAGCCAAAGGCGCAAGTGTACGGGAGGAGGGTCCCTCCTCCCAGGCAAAATTCCCCGGTATCCACCAGTCAACAGAAGGCTGTCGCATGTCTTCCCTTTGCAGAGTGCATGCGAGACCACAGATCAGCGTGTTCAACTTCCGAGGAAGGATCACAGCCGACAATAAAACCAGTCTCGTGGCCTGAGAAAGGAGTGAACGGAGCAGGCAAGGTAGTGAAAGAATAGAAAGAATAAATGCGAAAACGTAGGCTTGACGAAGCTCCGAATGGGCTAAGCGCGGAAGCTTGCGTGGATGGATGCTTCAAAGGTCGCGTTGACCATTTTTTAGACTGAGTGTGGAGTCCCAAGAACGCGCCGCAGCGCTTTGCGCGAGCTCGCGATGACCGAGATTGAGACCACGTGTGAAATATTTGTGTTAAGCGGGCCCGATGGGCCAACGAGCGCGGGTAAGAACGGGCGTTACCCGGGATCTGCCAATATGGTCTGTGCGTGGGTGCAAAGTATTGTGGGGAACGGCGTCAGCGGTCGCAAAGCCCGCCCACCCCACATAAAGTGCAAATCTTGAAGAGCTTGAATAAATATTCGTAGCAGCGCCGCCTTGATGGCGGTCGACATGCCCACGCTTCTCGTACAAGTCCCCGGGTCATGGAGCCCGGAGGCTCGCGCTGACAACAACTTGAGGGGTGACTTGAGAGGAAAAAATTGAGTCTTCTGGCAGGCTTGGGCCGCAAAGGGGCAGGATTGGGCTGCAAGTACTTGGGCCACAAACGAAGTCTGTTGTGCGCACGCTGCTTCTTCGCCACATATCTTCAGGGCACAGCGCAGGCGACTCGAATTGGGCGTGGGCGATGAAAATTTGAGGTAAATAAAATCTTGCTGAGGGGCAGGATTGGGCTGCAAAGTACTTGGGCCACAAACGAAGTCTGTTGTGCGCACACTGCTTCTTCGCCACATATCTTCAGGGCACAGCGCGGGCGACTCGAATTGGGCGTGGGCGAGGTGGAGGTCAATGCAATGTGTTCCTCGCGATCGGCGGTCAAAGTGAAGCTTCGGTGCGTATGCCCTGAGATCGGTCCGGCATCTAGCTCGAATTTTCCCAAGATGGCAAAAAATAAATAAAAACAGCCGCTGGGGCCTATGTATGTCCTCCGGGGAGGATCCGAACCTCCACCTTCCATTTACGCCTGGAAACTTTAGTTACAAGGAATGGATGATGTACCAATTTTCATCTACACGGGCTACTCACCTAGCTTTGATTCGAGGCGTCGTCTCATTCATTCACACATAGATCCAATACCGCCTACCCCATCGATACATTTACGCCCCATTTCGCCCTGAATTTCAGTGTTAAATGTGCCCAGACTTCGAAAATTTTGAAATAAAATCAAAATACAAAACAAAAAGAGAAAAGAAAACCACATGCCCTTGGGAGGATTCGAACCTCCACCCTTCCCTTTGTGTAACCCCAATCTCATACACAAGGCATGGACGATGTACCAATTCATCTACAAGGACTATTTACCCATCTTCTGAGCTTAGCCATCGTCTCATTCATAACCCTCTGCATATAGATCCATGCCGCACTCTCTAAATGCTTGAAAGAATGAAAAGAAAAAACCACAACGACAGATTATCCATGCCCTCGGGAGGATTCGAACCTCCGCCCTCCATTTACTCCTCATCGTGTCCTACACAAGGAATGGGTGATGTCAGCAAAGGCTCATTTGTCTTTCCTCCGAACTTAGGGACCACACAATATTTCTTGGCTTAATGCAGCGTCTGTGTTGTCAAAAGATCAGTTCCCGGCTGTAAGCGCTGAACGTTGAACCTAAATATAAGACGACCCCGTCGGAACGCTGCAAGGTTATGATGATGTACCCCATTGCTATCCCGTACTTCTTCAGCTTTCATGTGTAACTAAATTCAATATGCGTGAAGTCAGCATGCGCAGGCGGTGGTCATCTGCCTCAAGTCTTCCCGGATCTAACCCATTATTCCTATTCCCAGAGGAGGGGAAAATATAAAGTTCCGAGCATGTGCTGGCTGGCCTAATTAGACCAAAACATCAGAATGGTTTCCAAAAAAAGAAGAGAAAAATGACCCGCGCTCGCGGCTGAAAATATGCAATTCACGTCCACGGGCAACATACATAAATGAAACTGCAGGTGGTTAGAAAAAACTATTCTAGGTCATATTATGTTTGAGAAAAAAGGTGCCACGAAACGATGCATGCCCTTGGGAGGATTCGAACCTCCGCCGCTCATACCGTCGGCGTATGAAATCAAACTCAAGACAGCGGGCGGGGATTCCGCGGAAGAAGGTATGAAAACCACAAGGAGAGCAATAATCGAAGTATTTTTCAATTTAGGTGCAAGGGAGGGTGCAATACGATAATTATGCACTGCATGACGAAGGACAATAGAAGTTCCTTGGTAATAGTCAATGGAGGACTGTCTGCTTTTGGCGAAGACAATAGAGTGGGCAGACCTTAAGAGCAGGTAATGAGAGCGACAGAGAAACTAACTTCCTTTTTGGGACATTCCTTTGGATCGCAGACATTTTTTCAAGTTTTTGTCGCGCTTCTGCGACATCAACAGCCTGTCCGCCGATGGGTACCCGAATGAGGACGAGATTTCCAGTTTGGGCACAAGACACGTCTATTTCAATACCTTGGTAACTGCATAAGCATTTGATCCATTTGTGCGCTGTAGCAGTATGCGCACACTGGCGCACGCCGTGAGCGACAGGTTCCTGCATTGCACATACCACATCAATATCATTTTGGCAAGCAGAAGGATTTACAAAGCGGAAGCATCATGCAGACGCCCCCAAGATATTCGCCAGTTGTCCGTATTGTCCGCTGGGTCGTATCCAAATTTAGAGAAAGATCGTCAACAAAAAATGAAAGTCCACTGACTGTAAAGCGTGCACCACGCACGTGTCGTCCCAGACTTCCTGCGTATAGCATGTCTGCTGGCCACCTCGTTCGCGCGCATCATGTGTCGCGTTGTGTAGTCTGTAGTCGAGTATGCTAGAGCACCGGGATTTACTAGAACGCAGGTCAATGAGTTGAATAAAGGCACGATAATGTATACACACCGATTTTCCTCGAATTCATTCAGCTGAATAAGGAGCTCTGCAATACGATCCTGGGCCCCCCATTAAGGTGCCGTCTTCGATAGCAGCTCCAACAGATATATTAGTAAATTGCGCTCCAGCTCTATAGAAATCAGTTACGCACCGGAAACGGGTGAGCTGCGTCCCTAAAACCAGCGTTTTACCACTCGTCCCACATTTCCAGTAATCCATAATCTGACCACAGGTGGAGGGCCCAGCGATACCGTCCCCATCGTCCTCGAAACCCCATGTATAGTGAAGGCATGTAGAATGAGAATACAGGAAGCACGGGCCCGCGGATCATTAGGATTTAGAGGCGACTTCATCCACCATCGCACTGATTTTGAGATAGTTGAGTTATCCAAAACACTCGTACCTGCGTTGATGAACTATAGACCAGCCACCCGCCGCTTTTGCGGGTCTCGAGTTCAGTAATCGGGTTGATGGGGGAGGTTGTGTGCGCTACAAATAAGCCATGGCAAGAAATTATCTGTAAAAGGGATAGACTTTCGAATGGATCGGAACAATGGGGGGCATTCGGGGCGCGTAAAGCATGAGATCTGCCGGGACGTTTGGGCGGTGGTTGATGGATGGTATGCACCGAATATAGAACGAGGTGAATAGAATGGCGTAGAATGTTCACGGAATGAATTGTGTTCCAGATAAAAGTGAGGTGGAAGGCAGGATCAAGCATCGGGCGCGGCGCAAAGATGTGAACGCGGAGCATATTTGAGAAATCGAGCGCACAGCGGTATAATCTGAATTTTTATCATGAGTAGAGACGAGAAATTGGTGAGTCTAACGGCAACAGCAGAGAAACCCTGGCAACAGCAGAGAGGGTTTCTCCTATTTCACACGCGCCGGTCCTCGTAAGCGCGGATAGACCTGATATTGATTGTGATTCCAAGTTGTGGCATGAGTAGTGGGAAGGCGGGGACGTCGTGCAGCAAAGACGCGGAGGGGGGAGGATGTACACAGAGGATCAGAGCCGTGTGGTTGTAAGAGGCTAATATGACAGCTACATACTGGTCGGCGCTGTGTATCATATGTTATCCGGGTGCAGGGGGGCGAGGGCTATGTAGCTGTAGTTGTAGTGATTGTATGCGCAGTGCACCGAGCAGACTCGCATTGTATTAGGGGGGCGCCGACGCAGTCATTCGAAGGTCCAGAAGCAATGCAGAAGAGTCTCGGCAAGAACAGTGTGAGACAAGGAGCGCGGGCGGTGGGATTGGAGAGCCTGCGAAGACAGGCAGAGAAGGGGCTTTCGAATGAGTATCCTGCGGTAACAAGATGGAGGTTATTTTCAGACGCGCCGAGCCTCGTAAGCGCGGAGGAGCGTGATATCAATTTGAAGCCTACACATGGATGGTAGGTAGTAATTGGAGCGCAGGAGGCAGGGAGGTGAGTTGGAGAAACAACACTCGGAGAGGGGAGGATATATACGGAGGAACAACATCGGAGTGGCTGGAAAAGGACGAGATGAGGGCGGCGCTGTGTTTCATATATTATGCGGACATGGAGTGGGATGGGTGCGGGGGAACGAGGCGTGGATGAGATGGGGTGCGATGCAGTGCGCGATGTGAGAGGTGGGAAGAGGATGGATGGCAAGGAGGCAGAGTGGCGAACAGGGAGGAGTGGATGGGTGTGATGTGATATGGCGTGTAGGGGAGGCGCGTGCGGGATGTGAGGCAGGGGTGGAGAGACGTCTAGATGACGAAAACGGCGCAGGGGTGGATTGTTGTGGGGAGGAAAGGGAAAGTAGAACAACGGACGGATGGAAGTAAGCGAGAGTAGTGAAGGTGGAGGTGATGCACAGTATAACGCCCGCGGCGGGAACTTGGGCGTCCTGGAATGCGCGGTGAAGACAAGAGAATCCGGTATGGGTGGTGTGCGGCGAGAAGCGGAACTTGGGGCACAAGAGGGGAACCATAAAAGGTGGGGCGGGGCGGATGGATACTGGGAGCGGATAAAATGGGAATGGGCGAGCGGATGGGAGCAGTGGGGTCCGAACAAATGCAAGGAGGGGTAAAATTGCGAGAGAACACGACAAGAAGGATGAAAGTGGAAGGATTTGTGGGCACAGCAAGCGGAATAGAGTAGAGGGGTTAGAGCTTAGTATCGGAATTGGATTCGGGGTTGAGGATAAGGAACGAGGGGAGGGTCACGAGAAGTGCGTTTGCGTTGAGTGAAATGGGTGGAAGAACGAGGCGTGGACGGGATGGGACGGGATGTGATGCAGTGCGCGGCATAGTGGGAAGAGGATTGATGGCTAGGAGCAGAGTGGCGACCGGGGGGTGGAGTGGATGGGGCGATGTGACGTGCAGTGGAAGCGCATTGGGGATGTAGAAGGGGTGGTAGAACAAGAACAGCGCAGGGGTGGAGGAGGAATGGAATGTAGAACGCAGGCCGGATGTTGTGCGCGCGCGGCAGAAACTTGGGTGGTGAAATGAGAAAGCGAATGTACGAGGCAACATGCGAGGTATGCACTAGGACGGGTGACGGGAGCCGGAAGAAGTGGGTTGGCGGAGAAATGGTGACGGGAGATGAGAGAGGCAGATAGAGTCACGGCGTAGAAGATGAGCGACGAGAAAGATGGATGATGAGATGAGTGGAATGAATATTGAATGGCGTACTGACGAGGAGGGCAGGGCACGACGGAAGATCCACCCTTTCCGCCACCGTCGCCGCCGAGTAGAGCCGTGGTTGCAGTCTCCGTACCGGGTCATTACTGTGCCATATCCGAAGAAACGCACTTCCCGCCCTTCCCCAAACGAATCACGAGGCTAGTCGCCGAGCACTTCACCTTGCCCTTTACGGCCGCTGCGCATATAGACTTCTGGCCGGGAGTTGGTGAGGCGTTGCGTACAAGGGGTTGCTGTTGGCGTCGTATATGCGGTGCAGTGGATGTCATGTGGGGTAGTAAACGAGGTCCGAGTTAGAATCGCTAAAGCGTCTGGATAGCGAGTTTGGAGCGAAGAAGGGATGGACCCGATTGGGCGTGGCGGTGCGTGTCGGGAGCAGTACCCGCTTTCTTCCGACCAGCTCCCAACCTGCGAGAGTTCGACTCACACGGCTTGAAACGCGACAGATTTCGTAGGTAGGTAGGTAGGTAGCATTACATAGGAATTAATCCATGGCAGTCAAGGAGAGAAGTCGGATACGATGCCGCCTCCCCCGCGTATGGCAATTCTGCACCTAGGGCATCAAACCGTCCGTTTTACGGCCACGGCCGTAAATATTACGGCACATTTTATTAATTCGCCATATTTCTACTTATCGATGAACTGACTTCTGCTTTTTTCTGCAATCTAGGCGCTACCGTGCGACACAGGCAAACTTGTGGGACGCTACGAGCTGGCGTTTAGAGAACAGATGAAGGTCCAGGGGCGAAGGTGTAT